CCCAAGCTAGAGGCTGGAGTACTAAGTTAAAATGCATTAGCCCAAAGCCCTTAAACAGGTATTAGCATACAAGAGCTGTCTTTATAACCCATGGATTATTTTACTAATTTTAAGTATGATTTCCAAATATATACCAGATGAAAAAATGTGCCTTTAATTTTACTTATTAGAATTATGCACTCTGTGTACGGGGCATAACCATCTTAATATGTTGCACATAGAAGTCTTATTGCTATTCAGCAAGACTCTCCACAACGTGGCTGGAAGTGAAATGAGGTTCTTTTGACCCCTATACTGTAGTAAGGATACAGGGCAATGCAGTTGAAATACAGCTTGCATGCTTTTCCTGCATTTACGTCTGTCTACATTAAAGTACACTTGTCACAAGAGAATTGTATAGGTTCCCATTCTCCCCTTCTGATCTTCTTGGAAAGTTCGCTCATTGGCTGTCAGGCTGATGTTTTGGCTTTAATTGAAATGAGGTTCTTTTGATCCCTAACCACTCTTAAACACTTTCTGAATTGTGGACCCAGAAGAAATTTAGTAAGCTTGTTTCAGGCCGGTGATTCAAAGGTATTGAGGCCAAACATAGCCAGGCAACTAGAATATTCAGAAGGGGGCCATCAATAGCAAACTTTAAACAGTTCAAAGGAAAAAATATATCACCACTCCAATTCCCATTCAGAGTTCCAGCCACATGACAGCCTCCCGAAGTGCAGGTAAAGAGGTTGCTCTTGTTCTAACTCAGTAATCAGCAGAAAAAATACTGAAACAAGCAGGGGTGCCACCGATAGCCATCTTTATTACAATATCTTCATTTCAGTAACACAGATGAGCCCTACCATAGAGCTGCATGCCTCTTAACATGATGTACAGGGGGCTGTTTCAGACTGCTGGAGACCTGGACCACTGAATCTTCAGGATGCTGCAGGTATAGGGACGTTTCATATATTAGTAATGCAATAAAACATTACAAAAAAATCACACATTCTCTACTTTTTATGTACCCCGACTGCATACCCATATTAAAATATCAAGGTTCATTTGGGCTTTAGGCTTTTTGCCCTGAAATGATTTAAGGGCCATATGGCATATGCATTATTGAAGACTATAAGACCAAAAATGCATTATGTAGCACCAAAAGAAGCATCTGCACCTTTTTCAAAGTCGCATGGCAGTGCAACGTATAGGTATATATGGGTGCCATAGAACATAATGGAACATTGTTGCACAATGGCAAGTGGTATAAATCGCACAGGTCGGAATGGGGCCTAAAATGGGCATGTCACAATATGCTATTAATAGTTGGCATAAGGTAGAACCCTTTATCAAAAGAAAAAAAATCTACTGTCCACCATGCCACTGCCATACAACTTTAATTTTTGTTCCTATGTATGAACACTCTTTCCTGTCATAGTATCATAGCTGAGAAGGTTTGAACTTAGATAAATAAAGCTCAGCATCCATGTACCAAGAGAAAGATAGTCTCTAGCTTTCTAATCAGACTGGCGTTCTTTATGAATAGAGGAATGCATGGCTTTATTAGAGTCAAGTGATATCTGGAATGGTACTTCAATGCATACTATTTGGAACACTACAAATACCTGACAAGACTGCATTTTCCACTTTCTACAGTAAATGGAAACCCCATTGAAGTACTCTATCCAGGATTTAACAGATCCTGTAGAATAACTTCTTCTAAACGCGGTGACGGACCTAAGTGTTAGCTTGTGATTCCTGAGCTACTCTTGACAATGATAGCTGTAAATGGGTGCTATATGTAATACTTCTAATTTGCTTGTCTATTTCATTGAAACATTTAGATATTTACATTACAACCCATCAGTCTCATAAGCCCCAGAAGCATCTTGAGCTTCTGGATTGGTTTGACTGTGGCTGATGTCAGATATGCGAATTAATAAGCTTCACTTTTTCTAATTAAAAAGCACAAGGTGTCCATCCATACTAAGAGGTTTCACTCAACAAGCACTCGTAAGGGGGTCAGTCCATTCAATGCTTTAATTACAAAAAGGCATAAAAGCAGCAAACAAACAAATGCTAATGTGTTTCAGCCCCCAAACTGGGCCTTAGTCGTAACCTTTGGCTGAAGGCTCTGGCAAAAGCTTTACTGGGCACTGAGGTTCCAGCGGCAGGAATGGAGACAAAAGGGTAGAGCTGCTCCATGATTCTCAATTGCTCCATACTAAGAGGCATTGGTTCAACATAGGGGAAATGAAAGGGAAATGCTATCTACAAGACCATGGGTAGGATTAGACACCTGTTCTTCATGTGACAGAGGAGAGCAACCACATTCAAATCTGTGCTGAGCTGATGTTGCTCATCATTCTTGGTGAGGTATGTTGCAATTCACAAGCACCTCACCCAAATTTTAAGTTTATCAGACAGCTGATTATCACTGATTTCATTCTGGTTAAAAAAAGGCTGTAATAGGTCTTGTAAGGATACAATGTGAGAAGCATTGAAGTTCAGGAATGCTAATGAGTGTTAAGTGCTGGTTTGTTGGTGTTAATGTAGTACAAAAGGGGAGATGTCATCCCTGGAGCTAATGAGGGTTCTCCTTGGAATGGCTTTATTCGATTGTTAATCTTGCTGGCTGCTGTAAAGAGGTTTCCTCAACATCTTCTCTTTCAGTATTTCTTATGCTCTTTAATTTAGAATTCTGTTTCCAAAAGCAATGGTAACATATGGTTAAAGGGATTATAACAAATATATATTTACTATATAAAATATAACTGTTACAGATTTCCGGTACACTCATATTCACATAACCATGCTCTCTAATGCATTTACACATGGATGTAGTTTGATACAACTACATAATGTAGCAGCATTGCAATGCACTGTTACCTTAAGGCCTTGTTCACACCAAGCGCAGAGCAGGTGCAGAGCAGATCACTTGCAGACCGGATCAAAACTGCGTCCAATGTATTCCAATGGTATTTTTTGCTCCAGTTCACATCGCAGCGTGCAGTTCCAGAGCAGGTCCAGAGCAGGTGAAAAAACTCCAGCAGGCCCTATTTTACCTGCTCTGGATCTGCAAACGCATCAAAAACGCATGCAAATGCCTGGAACGCACTGAAAGCCCATTTTTAACTTTTTTTTTAAAAAGTTGTTTTTTTTAGCCAAAAACACGTCAAAAACGCATCTAAAAGACTAGCATGCGTGTGCAGAAACCTGACCGGATCTGCTCTGCATTTGGTGTGAACAAGGCCTAAGGGAGAGCAATGAAATAACTTAGATTTACTGGAAGACATCCATATGTCCTGTAAACGATCTGTTAGGGTCCAAAATGTAATCATTTAAAAGATTGGAGTTATTTGTTTTGCATCACTTCCACATTTTATTTCAAAAGATAATAAAATAGTTGTTTTAAGCTTATAGATATAAGTCCCTTGTGTAGGTGACTTCTACACTGAGCCCTTATTGTTTTGTATAGTTTTTCTTATTTTAATGTGAAAATTACACTGATGTAGACAAGCTTAGCCCTGTGCTCAGGATGCTGCCTTGTGTCATATAAGGTGGTGGCGATCATTTTAACAGAAAGCATTTTTATAAAAGAGTGCAGGACATTTTATAAGCAGAAAAAAATGATTGCTTTTTAGACAATGTGTGGTATACATTAGGTGTGTGCACAATGTTTATGAAGAAAGCAATACTTACAAAACTCTAAAGCCTAATAAACAACACTGGGACTTCCTGGAAGATAACACTGACCCCAAAAAGTGAAGGCCATTGAAATCAGATGGAATAGTCCTTTTAGCATTGTATTCAGGCAGTGGTGTTCTCTATACCTCTTGTGCCTTTTTTAAGAATGTAGACAATATTTTTTTAATCCCAAATTTGGAAGTAAAATCGAATGTAACATTATTTTCCTGGTGTACTACAGATGAGCCTCAAAGATGAAAGTGACTGATGTGTTTTGATGAGAGGGAATTCTTTACATCTAAAAAAGTTGACAACTGATGTGCAGAACTATCATATTTCAAGGTACGTGCTGTCTGCAATCTAGTCTTCCATTCAGCAATGCAAAGGGCAATGATGATATACACGGTGCAGTAATCCATAGCTTCCAATCAGATTTCAGTTTACATAGTAATATAGTAGGTGAGGTTGAATAAAGACAGTTCAACCTGTGTGTGTATGGGTGCATGTTATTTTGTGTATATATTTGTATGGCTCCAACACTGTTCATAGTTTTGTATATGAAGCGAGGTAAGAAACACATCAACAAGTTTCTTGAATTTATTACCTGTGGAAGGGAGTTTCACAATTTCATAACTCTCACAGTAAAAAACCACCTACGAATTCTAAGATTGAACCCCCTTTCCTCCAACCTCCTGTTGAGTCCCCATGTTTTCAATACAGTTTTCGGATTAAAAGTTTGTTCCCGATATTGTGGTCTCTATTGATGATTTTGAAGATTGCAATAAGGTCCCCTCTTAATCGCCTCTTTTCTAAGGTGAATAAGTTTAAATTTTGAAGGAGATCTTCATAACTCAGGCATTCTATCCCTTTAACTAATTTTGTAGCCCTTTGCTGAACTCTCTCCAGCTTGAGAGTTTGCAACCAAAACTGTACCGCATACTCAAGATGAGGCCGAACCAGTGATTTATAAAGTGGAAGTATTAAGGTGGCCATACACCTTACAACCATCGCACGACTTTCATTGTGTGATGGTTGTAAGGTGATTAAAAGTTCGTACGACCTGCACATCTTGGACAGGCAGATTGTGCATGCGATGGCAAGTCCTCCCCGCTGAGGGGAGAGCTTACAGATGATTGCAATGGTGAGCGGGCAGTGTGCGCTTGCGCACCTCGGCCCGTGCGGCTTTTGTCTTGCAATCACGCTACCAACCCGACGGCTCGCTGTATGCTGAGACGCCGCAGCTGAAGCGGATCCCAACAATTATGTCTGGATCCGCACAGCTGCGTGAGTGACAGCTGGCTCTGCCTATCTAGAGGCAGAGCCAGCTGTACCCGCCCCCTCCCCCGTCTGATCCGCCAGTCGGCGCTGGCGGATCGGAGCGGGGAGGGGGGAATCCAGCCCTTCCCCTGTCACAGCTCTGTGCCGTGACAGGATCGAGAGGTGAGCGAACGCCGGTATGTGTTCGCTCACTTCTCGATCTACTGAGCCGACCTGTGACAGTCTCATTGTCACAGGTCCACTAGAACTATGAGGTGAGTGAAAAGCACTCACCTCATAGTTCTCCTTTAATAGATTGGTCTGGCAAGAACGGTCCTTCATGAAACCATGTTGGTTACAACTTATGATACCAGTTTTATTCACAAATTCCTGCATATAGTTCCTTATCATGCCTTCATATATTTTGCACACTATGGACATTAAGCTGACAGGCCTGTAGTTACCTGGTGAACTTCTTTTCCCCTTATTGTACATTGGCACCACATTCGCTTTCCGCCAATCTGCTGGGACCATACCTGACATTATGGTGTCCATAAAATTTATGTACAGTGGTCTGGCTATGACCTGACTAGGTTCCTTTAGAACCCTCGGATGTAACCCGTCAGGTCCTGGGGATTTGTTTACATTTGATTTTTCTAGTCTCTGTAGTACTCTCCGACAGCCACTGAGATACGTTGAAACTGGTACTACTATTTCTGCAGCTGATTCCCTGATCTCTGCCCATGCCGTCTCATCTGTAAAAAATTAAGAAAATAATTTGTTTAACGAATTCGCTTTCTCCCTCTCACTGGTGGATAACCTCCACTCGTCATCCTTTATAGGACCTACATGTTCTGTCCTTACCCACTTGCTATTTATATATTCAAAGAATTTCTTGGGGGTTCCTTTTGCTTTCTGTTACTATGTGCTCTTCGTATTTTACTTTTGCTGCACTGATTGCTTTTTTACATCTTTTTTTGCAATCCTTTTCGAATGCCGATGCTGACCACTCTGACTTATATTTTCTGAAGGCCTTATCCTTTTCCCTTATGTGTTGTTTTACCTTGCTAATTAACCACCCTGGTCTAACTTTTGCTTTCTTAAATGTATTGGTAAACAGAATGCAACGACCAAATTTGTTATTTAAGATATGTTTGAAACTTCCCCTTTTCTCCTCTGTGTTCATATACACTTGTACGAAAGGAGCAGCGATCCTGTCCGCCCCCCCACCCCTCCCCCCCGCCGCGGTTTTCGGGGTCCCCCGCTCCTCTGGGGGACCCGTGACCACGGCGTAGGAATCACAGCGCCACCTGTCTCAGCTGTCAGGAACTACATGCGTCTTATGTTCAGGTGCATGTTATGGACTGCAAAATACGGTATATCTTCTTTTTTTAATAATTGTGTTCAAGACTATAAAAACACTGTTTATGAGATACTATTTCCAAAATATGAAGCAGACGGAGGTTTAGTAAACTCTTTGCTATAAAAATAAAATGATTCCAGACAATGAATGATCCATGAGCGTAATATGCTAAACAAGCAATATGTAAAATCCGCTGTCTGCCTGTTTTGTTATGTTTTCCCAGTTTCCACATTCAATTGTGTGGATTGTAAGAGGTAGTTTTAAAAGGGATTTCCAAGGATTCCATCCACTCTGCAGAGGATGTTTTGGGGCTTTTTTGGTCACCAGTAGAAGTAACACAGTGTTCTGTCCAGGGATTTTTTAGCATAACAATGAACAGAAAAGTCTCTCAGCTCAGCTTTGTGGCACAGTTCTGTCTATTCTTAAGACAGTGCTTCCTCAGTCTCAGCCTTTCTTCTGAACTGGTTCCATTAGTCACCAGACTGGACCTCCCAACTTTCCAAGATGAGAAAGAGGGACACCTTCTATCGCAATGTATTTAGGCAAAGGAAAAACCTCTGCCAAGCCCGCAGTTATGCGGACCATTAAGAATTTATATGCCAAAATTGATTGGTGAACCCAGAATTTTTTTCACCATTACTTTTCCTTTATATTGGTTTTTTGAAATAGCAAATAGGATCATTAAGAGATAAGTTAAGGGTTTTAGGGCAGAATAACACTCTTGATAGTTAAATAGTACGTTTTTAGAGATATCTGGACATCATACCCAAAAGAGGGACAACTAAGGAGGAAAGAGGGACAGAAGGATTTGGTTCCAAATGAGGGACAGTCCCTCCAAAGGGACAGTTGGGAGGTATGGTCACCAGAGTGGATATCCAGACTGGGTGGACACGTTTCCTACGTGATCGCATTTGCATTGCTGTTACGTCACATAGAAGTCTTGACTGTTTTTGAAACTTTCCCATTTGTGGGGAAGACCCAGCTGTCTCTAGTTGGTCTAATTTCTTGGGATGCCTGTTCTGATTTTTGAGGGACCCTTTCTCTGCCAAAACAGACTCACTCCCTGTCACTTACTGCATCTTTAAAGTGACATACAATGCTTCTGTCTCAGGACATTCACAGAAAGAGTTTAGTTTAGCCCAGCTAAACATTTCTCACAAAAACATAGTAATGTCAATACAGCTACCATTGATTCTTATAAAGTACATCACATTGAACTGCAAATGCGGTTCTAGATTTTCAGGTCAGTAGACCATTTAGGCTGGTTGGGAACCAGGAATAGTTAGGGCTATACATTTGCACTGATGCTCATAAAGGCTTAGGAATTGCTTTTTCCCTGAGGATATGGATCATCATACAGTCTCTTTGTTTGCTCAGTTATAGACAAACTAAGTACACGTAATATCCTAAACCTGACAGTTCCAGACTCCACCATTTAAAATAATTGTTCACAACTGATGAATAGCTTGAAGACACATTCAGAAAACAGGGAGATGTCAACTCAAATATTCTGGAACAATGATATAATATCAACTAGACAACTATAAGCCTGAAGGTTCTGGCCTGTGTAGCCAGTGACAATATGCTGCCATTTTGTCTGTGAAAAGCACTGAAATAAGAGATGATGACACTGAGCAACATAATAACTGCTCTGTGATTCTATCCATCCCTCTTGCTCTACAAAGATAAGCACCATCAGCACACAAAACTAATATTCTCAATATGTTTAATATTTCCTTGTAATAGTTTAATGTATATCATTTTATCACTGTTCCTTAATGTTTTGAAAACCTTGCTTCATCATTTGTAATTATGTATGTGCATGGGGGAAGTCATATGTGCTTATTACATATGCAGGTTTCCTAATTTGCAGTGCTACACAGTAGCTGTGTTCTACAACCCCTGCTGATATTACAGGTCTGAGTTGATCTGATTGAAAACAATGCACTCCTCAAGTAGCTAATATCTTATCCCAGCAATTTAAAGGCTTACAAGTTATTAGTAATATGACTCCCCTAATCACCCCCACCACCACCACCTCAGAGAAATGCAATAGTACCTAAGAACTGTTGGAAATACAACAGCATATACTAATGTACTGATATGTCTTCTGAGCTGTAGATGGCAGTGTAGTGCAATGTTAGTCTCTATGTGCATGCTTATCTATGATGCACAGAAAGTTGTATTTTTTCCTTTCTGTTTTTCTTCACAATGCTGTATAAATACATGTAATGTTCTTCTAAGCAAGTAAAACTTAATATAGCATTCCTCAAGATCTCAGTGCTTTATCTGAACACATAACCAACAAGAACGAGTCTTCTTGCGCTTTACATTACTGGGCATAGCCACGGCCTGACAGTGTTAATAGCCTCTTTGAAGGTGGCAAATGGATTGCAACTGTGCCGGATATAGGTAGCCCATTAATTTATATAGCCAGCTCAGCTCTAAAGTGCTTTAAAGCTGATCTCTGGAATAAGCAAATATTGTTTAAATATAAGAGGCATGTATATTCTTACTTAAACCTTGGGATGCTTTGTGAATATCTTCCAGATCTGTACAGTGTCCACAATGAGACTTTGGGGTTGATTTACAAAAGGCACAGCCAAAATAACTGAGCAGTGCCTCCATCTGATTGGCCAACAATTTTCTGCCCAGGTCCTTTAATTTTTAAATAAAAGGATATTGGGCGGGAGCCAGCAGACAAGGCCACCCACTGGGTGAAGTTCATTAAGAACAAGCCATAATTCACTCAGTTTATAGCCAACTTTACAATGTTGCAGTCTGAACACAGAGAGAGAGAGGAGAATGCATTAATGCTTCCTACTGCCTACAGGAGACTGATAATATAATCTCAGCCTGGGCAAAAGTCACTTGACAAGAGGTAAAGGGCTGCTGCTAAATAATGATTGCTGCGACATGTCAAGAATGCAATTATGCCGACTTTTAATACAGTTACTGAGAGATACACTTTTAGTGAAGCAAACACATGAATATGTTACAATTGTTGCAACTGTTTTATGTACTTTTTAGAAGGTGAGTGGAGCTTATATAAATCCTAAATGTTTGTTTTTATACAGATGCATGATAAGAGAAGGCAATCTGAAGAAGGTTCATCTGCTTCAGTACAAGGTAATAGAACTTTCACTTTCTGTTTACTTTCTCAATAAATCCACCATTTTCAAGTAAATACAGAAACATTTTATAGCCAATACTATATGTTTTGTACAAGCTGTAACTGCAATAGCCTTTGTTTCTCAAAGTTCCTTAATTGTGCATACAATGTAATACTCAGTATCCGCGCTATGGAAACAAATCAATATCCCCTGTGCTATAGCTGCCATGCCAACACTAACTGTATGAAATAGTCTAACTACCTGCACCACGCTACTAATCTCTTGTGTAATAAACTAAAAATACACATACATAATTGTGCTAAAATCCCACACTATATAGATATTTCATGTGACTATGAACTTCACGTGCACTATGCGCCAAATATGCTCCACACACAACCGCTCCCCCCCCAAAAAAAAAATATTAAGACAACAATCAGCTAAATAAACATAAATTAGTGATAAAAAACAACAAATAAACAATGTGAATAGTTCATACACTAATCCACTTAAAAACGTTGTGAACAGTCCACACAATATTCCACCCAAAAGAATTCCAAATTTTGTATAACACACGTGAGTAAATCACATCATGATCCACCGGACAGTGTTCAAAAACATATAATCCACATCTCAATGTTCCAAAAACCACTGAAATTATGCCAGTAGGTTATAATGATGAAGTCGGTGTTTCTCTCCTCCGGTCCTAAACAACGCATAGATACACTCACCAGACTTTTTTGACCATATCATCAAATGGTCAAAGTACGCATTCGGGTGAACGCTCCTCTTTTTGTGCATTTGTGACCAGAGCGGGCAGCTCATCGGCTGCCGACTCTGATCGTACAAAAATGTTCCGGCAGGCTCCTTCGATCAGGTTACTCAAAAAACGGCCGAAATTGACACAGTGTATGGCACCCAAAGAGTTTAGTTTCACAACATAGCTTTTATATGAGTCTCCACTCAGAGATAAATAAGCTATGTACTCAATGGGGTTGATTTACTAACAGAAAATAGACTGTTCACTTTGCAAGGGAATTTGCACTTTGCAGGGGAAGTTTCCCTTGGCTTGGTGAATGTTGTGACATTTCACTTTGCAAAAAATACCCAATCATGTGCAAATAAATTTATAAAAGAACAGGATTTTTGCTTGCACATGATTGAGTGATGGAAGTCACCTCATTCACTAAACTAAGGAGAAACTTCCCCTGCAAAGTGCAAGTTCCTTTGGAAAGCGAACAGCGTATTTAACTTTAGTAAATCAACCCCATAATGTTGACTCTCTAAAGCGATTGAACTTGCATTATTCACACAAGAGTAAGACAACTTTGATGCATTGCAGATGTGGGGAAAGGTGGACGAATGTATCAAAACTGGAGGAGACAGAATCTGGAGCAGTTGCCTGTAGTAACCAATCAACAGCTCTTTTCTATTTGTTTGGTTACGTTTAACAAATTAAAGATGTTTGTTTGCTGTGGTCAGTTGCTCCAGATTTTGTTTGCTATAGTTTTTATAAATTCCCCTCATGGATTATATATCTGTTTCTCAGTATCTTTCCATCAAAAGTCAAGAGGACAAGAAAGCCCTATGTCAGATCCATACGAATTTCCGAATTCCAATGCATCCGAATGTGTACGAATCCAAATTTCGGTTTACGAATTTCACTAAAAAACTAAAATTAATTGGACATGTGACTTTTCTGGCCAATCAGATATGTTTTTCGGTCTAATGCATCCGAATGGGTCTGAACACAAATTTTTGTTACGGCAACATGAGAGCCATATACAGTATATACAATACTAAAGCTCAGACTCCAAGACCCAAATGGCATTCGGAAATTCGGATCCCGAATGCCATTTGGGTCTAGGAGATTCAGCTTTAGTATTAATATTTGTATATGGTTTTCTGTTTTAATCGCAATGAATATTCGTAAACTCATTCGAAACTAACAAAATTTGTATTTCGTCCTAATCTGAAACCCGAACTGTAATAATGAAATATCCGAACCGAACAAAATTTTTCCACAGCTTACATGTCTAAGTGAAAGTAGCTGTAGCAACGTAGAAATTCTTTGAAGCAGTTTTGAAGCTGGACTGTTTTCTATAAAAGATCTGAAGGTGTAGTTGGAGTTTTTAGAGTTGCCTAGAGAGGAAGGTTTGCTTAAGTTCCAGAGCCAACATCTCAGAACCTTTCCTAACAAATATGGAATACTGCCACACCGTATAATTGGAGCTCCTCTGATGAAGCAAAACCAAAATATAGTTTACAGAAATGTATTTGAAATTGCCAAAAAATGTGATACAGCATTATAAAAAATGGAGCTGAAATATCATTTTTGTTTGTCATCTGTTAACATACTCTACTATCTATATCTTCCTTTACTGCAGATGCGGATAGACAAACAGAGGTTAATTCTGTTAAGTTGGATGGCAATAACAGGTAATTTTTATCTGTAGCAGTTACATTTGGTCTTATTATACCCTATCTAGATATGTCCCATAATATTTGACCACACAAAGGAAGAAATGTGCCAATTGTACTGTCACAGTAAAACATTACACCAGTTATGTTCTATTTAGCAATTTGCACTAATACTAGCCATACACAAATCATTCAGTGGAGTCATTGTTTTAAAATTCTGATTGAAACTAACATTAATAATTGTTTTCAGCTTTAATCTAATTGGATCAAGTTGGAGATTAAAGCAATTGGATCGGTTGGAAAACTCAATTTCAAGTCAATCGATTGTTATATGGATCAAGTGATTGAAAGTGATTGGATTAATTAAGGCAAATTTGCCATTTATTTTGCAAGCAACCATTGTTTCAGGCATTCAATTGATTAAAACAATCCGATCGAGTGGTGAATTTCATAACAAAATATATGTGTATATGGTCAACATTACATGGTATGTAGAAGAAGGATTGCCACACTGGCCTGGAGAACAGAAACAAATGTTCTGCTTCCATCAGAATCTGAAAGAGTGCATGGAAATAATGCTTCAATTATCTCGGTCTGCATCTCTTCTAAATGCCAATATGGACATGCACTATTTGAAGTGTAGATAAAAACAAAATATATTTTTCAGGTGTTTGACGTTATGCCTCACTATATACACATTTCTCAAACAAATGTTTTTTGTTTTTTTCGTGAATCTACTGTTTGGCAGGCAGACTAAACTACTGCTAATTTGCAAGAAAGCAGCTTAACGTTGTTAGCCTGCAACAGAGAGAGCTGATCCTGACATGATCTCCAGATAAGAAGCTTTGCAAAAAAAAAAAAAAAAAATTTGTTAAAGACAATTATATACAAAGCTGCATAATGCCAGACATACTGAAATTAGGGTTTACATGCACTTTAAGATCTCCAATCTGATCAAAGCAGTGCAGTACATCGTAGTGTATGGGTATATGGGTAGTCATAAGGAGCTTCTTTTTCAGTACTTTTATAACAGAGGAAGCAATAGAACATAAACTGCCATGTTTAGAATTGAATTTAAAGTGCAGTCATCCTGCTACAGTGATAAAAGGAAGATGGGTTGAAGCAGTAAAAAAGGTGGGAAGGTTGCAATCCCAAAACCCCTTCTAAAACATGTGACTAGCAGTCTCCCACCTGGTAAATTGAATTTAGAACCAGAACTCCATTTAGCTGTCCAGTGAACTAAGACATTAAACTGAAATCCATAAAGAGAACACAGCCTACCTGCCCAAGGTTTCAGGTTTTTTTTTTTACCAAAGAATAGCTGTCATTGACCAGTACACCCTGCTCTTTTGTTGACAACCTAGTGATCTGAAGGGCCTATTTTTTATAAATCTTTTTTAAAAGAAGGACTCCGGGCTAATAAAATCTTAACCCCTGCAGTGGGCCTACCCACGCACTTCAAGGGATAGTTGCTCATTTTTGTCTAGGTTCAAAAATAATAAAGTTATACTCACCTGATCCTCCGAGCCAGCTTGCTCTTGGACTGCTCCATTCAGCCTAGCTCCCCCTGTGTTCCGGCAGTCTAAGGCCCTATGAGTCATCACGTCCATAACAATGTGTTGGACATGAAGACGCCAAGGGACATACTATCGCTGGAGCGGAGGAGAAGACAGGCAGGATGGAGCGGTGTAAGAGCAAGCTGGGATCTCAGTTTGGGTGAGTATAACTTTTTTATTACAGCTTCCTAGACAAAATGAGAACTTAACCCTTGCAATGTGTGGGCACTGCAAGGGTTAAGATTTAATTTTCCCAGAGTTCTGCTTTAATTGACTACCCCACTACTACGACCCCCTGCCATTGTCACATAGGCTTGGACACTGCTCATGTCTATCCAGCTGCCAAATGATACATAGTGATAACTCTTTTTACTTGGCCACTATTTGTCTTACACAGACACCCCTTGGTGACTCTGTCTGCCACTGATACAGCATGTCTATATAAATTCAGTTCCAGTGTAATGTTCACTTTTAATGACTTATGAAGTCTGTTTATGATTTGGATAGATGACTTGATAGTACTGCATATCAGATATTGCTAATACTTAAGTATGATCTGTGACATTTTCTTCTCAACTGTTTTATTAGATCCTGTACATTTAATATATTATATTCAGATTGATACAAATCTGTGTAACACAATTACCCTTTTAACATTATCCTGCAATGTGCCATCACAATTAAGTAGTAAATAGGTGCCATGTGAACTTCATAAGACAAAAATCCTTTGAAGATTTTACGGTTTACAAAAAAAACATGCTTGAGAAAGTATTTGTAAAGGATTCTGCTTGACATGAAACAGTGCTAAAGTTGCTGATGATGACATATATAAAGAGTTGGATTCACCAGTATATTTTAATGCCTAGAGGAGTTTATAGTTCAAAGTGTATATGAGAGCAACACATTATTTTACTTCTCAAACTGGAAGATGATATTTTCAGAGACGATATTTCTTGTTATAATTGTAAATCGACATATGTGGTAACTCTTGGAAGAAAGTGATTAAGAATACGGGATTCTATATTGCCACCTCATGGATTTTTCCTGGTCTGTAGCAAGTTATCATTATCTTCCACCCTAATATATTTGGATCTACAATGCAGTGGACATCAAACACTTTTCCAATGGATGGTAATTATATATTTTTTAGCAAATTGTGTTAGAAAAATAGCCATATATTATGTAGGAAATTTGAGAGATGTTATTAGTCAAAACTGTCATGTTTTGCATACAATAATTACATTTTTTGCAGAGATAGAGCTGAGAATATGGATTCCACTGTAGATTAAATAATAAGAACAAATATACAATTTTATGTTTAAGAGTTAACTAGTCTGCACAGCACTGCAAGCTTTCGAAGGACAAAATGCCCCTGCGTCCCAACACGTAGCTCATTAACTTCCACAGCAAATGCAGGAGGGTTTAAATCTTAAAGTGGAATTGCAGGCAAATGCTTAAATCTCTGATAGAAGAGGGAATCTGGCTACAGACTGAGTGGATTTTGGCTGGTTCTTGATGAAAAATGTATGGACACGGGGGTGAAATTGTCGACCGAACAGTGCCTATGTTCAAGTAGATGCAGGCACTGTTTTTTTGTAATTTTGATGGCCAGCAGCCGATGCTTACAACAGGCTTGAGAACATTAAACATAGTCACACATGTTACATTATCATTGGAAAAATCTTTAGATTTACCAAAACCTATGTAGCTCAAGGGCCTAACCAGATTTAACTAGAGATAGTTTTCTGAGGTTCCAAAGACATGATATTGTTGCCTGATCCATCCATCCATTTTCTCACATCTGGGGCTATTTTCAAAGTGTAACATAAGTTATAAGTTTATTGAAGCTTGTTATGGTAACTAAGGGGCTGATTTAAAAGGCAGTGGCATGGCTGTATTGCTGCTTTAAAAAAATAAAGCTTCACACATTTATAAAACACAGCATGCTTTACAAATATACATTTAATGCCACTGGTTTCAGGAGTCTGAAGGGAACAAAGTGCATTAAAACTGAATGGAAGCCGGGAGGAATCCTAGTCATGTGACCTGTCAAAGTCACACAACCAACACAAAGTCACACAACCAACTCCCCATTCACAGAGCTCTCTGCTACGTTAAGCAGTGACAACTCGGTGACGTATCGCAGTCTACGCACCATGGTCTGCATTTGATCATTTGGTCGTAAAACACAACAAGGGCCACAGTGTGCAGAATATAACGGAGAGCAGATAATTATATCATAACGGACCAGTTTATGAACTGCTTAAAGAAAATAACATTTTTAGAGCACAGCAATGTGCTTCATAATTAGCTTAGCGCTCTGCTTGACTTTCAGATTCTGATACTGGAGTAGCACTATTACAATTAATGAGGTGTGTGATAAAAATAAAAGCTGGGAGGAGATTCCAGTCGCATGACCTCTCAAAGTCACGTGACTTGCTCTTCTCTAATAACAGAGTTATTTTGCTGTGTTAAGAGAGGGAACTCTGTAGAAAACCACAGGTACCACGTCATGGCTTTTATTTTATAAATGGGCCACATAATGTATGGCGTAATATATAATGACGATATAAATACGAGTTAATATTTATATCCGTTCTCCATTATAAATGAACCTCTAAGTGTAGTTGGAATGTTTCTGAAAAGATATAAGGAATGGACTGTGCTTGTATAGTCACAGATAGCTTTTTACTTCCAATCACACTGTTATTCTTACCTATAGTAGGCACAGACAGTCATTGTGCTTGATGTTGACACAATGTGAACTTGCTCAGGTACAACATTTATGAATACAAGTGTCTGTAAAATTCATTTGAAAAACTGCCTAATCGCCCGTGTAATGTCTTCTTAACACTAATGCATTGAAAGCTGCACATTATATTTGACCTGTGGCTTTTACCTTTTCTGTGGTTACAGTGAAGGCCTTGATTTTATAGATGCATTTCACTGCTCTTTATAGGTAACTTTTGCTACACATGCCGTACATTGTGCCTTTTGTACAGTAGAGGGAAACACAGAAAACAAATCTTTTTTTTGTGGTTTTAATGACAAAGTCATTTTGCTGCCAATCAGCTCCAAGCCCCCATTCAAACATGAGTGATTTGTCTCTCCTTTCCAGACACACAACAATGCTCCACAATAAGACTTCCATTATAGTCTATGGGGCCAATTCACATTTCTCCTGACAAAGTGTAGACAATCATACACAATCATTTTTGGCCTCATAGACTTGTTGTGGAGGGCCAAACCAATAGACATTGTAGGTATGAGGGCCCATGTACCCCAAACACACCTCCTGGCTGCAATGCGATCGACCCCAGCACAACACGCAGTACTGCAATACTCTGCATTGTGTTGCTGTTGAGAAAAATAATACATGCAATAAACCTGCCGCACTGTAACTCATGGAAGGCCCGTTAATGTGCGTTAATTGCATGGAACCATGTGATTAATACACAACATAAGTGTGAACGAGCCCTGAATGAAACATTATGGTCCCCATATAGTTTGTGGATCATACTTTATTTTCTTTTTTCTTGATAGGCTAGAAGTGGGAGCCAGGGGGTGGAGCTGCAGGAGAGGATGGAAGAATATACTCTTCCATCCTCTTGTAATGCTGGGGGCCAGAACACATTTGATGTCACTGGTTGCTAGGAAAGAGGACCCCTGACGTCATTGGTTGCTAGGATACTAGTGGACTGAAGAGGACCGCAGTTCAGACACGGCTTGCAGACCAGACAGGGACAGACAAAGTGCCGAATACGATCCATGGGCTGTAATAAGCCCAGGTCTGCTCTATGAGGACTAATCTCCTGTACAGTATGCAGAAAATTCTGATATCTTAAAAGAGTATACCAAAATTATTTCAATTCTAAACATTTTTGTATAAAGATGTTTGTAGACAGAGAAATGTAACCTGCACGCTTGTAGACAAGATACAGTAGATGGAACATAAATCAAAAGCATTTGCAATATTGTGAACTTATAACCAGGTGGATGATACTGAAACATAGCTGTGATTTCCAGAGACTGCCATTATAACACTATCAATTTATTCATGTTTCCTTATTTTTCAAGGGGTAATGGACAAGTCCAAGAGCAGTTGGGAAGCAGTTTACACGCAGGGTATTATAGACAAGGATACTGCAGCTGCTGCCAAGTACATTATATTAACCTAGAAAAGGTAAGAAAACCTAACGTATTGAAAGAAGGTAAAGATAGCTGTAACCTGGATTCTAGTAGATGTTCTTTGACAGGGCTCTGTTTTTTGGCAATCGAGATACATTCTACTGTGTGATGTCATACTAAACTTTGTGTACCTCTCCGAGGATCGTTTTGTGTATGTTATAGAAAATGCTCAAATATTTCAATTATGTTTTAGGATCCAAAGCATTTTACAGACACTGACAGCAGTTGCCACTTGCAAATAGATTGACATATTGACAGCAATGTTATCATGGGGCCCAGGAAGGTCTTTATTTCACTGGCTGGCTGAGCCAGCCATGAGTAAAGACCATCTGCTGGGAGGCATGGTGATGTCACCTGTGCCTCCCAGAAACGTCGGAAGCCAAGGCCAGGGTTTGGCTTCTTTTTATTTAGAACAGGTTTTATTTACAGATGTTTTGGCTGGCAATACCTTCTGTTTGCTATGAAAGGGCCTATTTAAGGATTCAGTATTCAGGGTATACACAGATGCACCTTTTCAGCCTTAACTTTAGTCTTGCAGATATGTATAGGCTCCTCTCCTGAACTGAAATGGCTTACTCTGATTTTACGGCACACTGCAAGCTTCTCCCAATGACCGTTAGAAGCTGCAGCAAGTCCTTTCCAGGCTGGTGGCCATCCAGCATCATCTAGCTTTTTCCTCCCCAGCCTAACTGTCCCTGGCCTGCCCTTTTAATTTATTGGAATTCAGTTCATTCAGTCATAGAGGCTCAGCACCACATTCAGATTCAGAGTGCAGTCTGCATGTAAATGCTGTCTGCCTAGAAACACCCACTCCTCCGACTGACATCCCACCATCAAGGCATTTTAATCTTTACATAACTCCTCCTAAGTGCCAGCATACTGCTTGCATAAGGGCTGAGGGCAGTTGAAAGGAGTACTAAGGCAGGGTGTCGTAATGTTGTCAGGAAGCTATGTACAGCAGTCCGTCGGCCTTCCTATCAGCCATGATCTGCTTGCATTGCATAGAGAAGCAGAGACCCAGTGATGACACCACAGAATAAAATAAAGTATGCAATGAATACAGAAAGGTTTAATAAAAAAATGTCATTAGCTGAGAGAGGTATCTCGCTTTTTAACACATTTTATTCACAACTGTTGCTGCCTTTTTATATTATTGGTTACTGCAATTGGTTATTACAACTGGTTATTGGTCCTTCATAAATAGCAGGATGTATACTGATCTAAGGATTTTTTTTAGTTTTGGATGGAGCAGGGAAGTTAGAACCTTCTAGCAGAAAGGTTAGAACCTTTATCAGGTTTTTATTGCTGTTTGTATAGGGAAGATTCTCCCTCTTTATGTGTCCTGGAAACCATTGTCACCAGAATGAAAGTGAGGGAAAATCCAATTGTCGCTTAAACAGGAATAGAGGAGAAACCTTCTAATGGCAACACTTGTTTGAGTGACAGCAGTCTAAGATGGGATTTATCTTATTCTGCAGAGATTTCCTCTTACTTCTGGTATGCAGAAAAAAACTACCAGGTGTTTTATTTTTTGTCCCCAAAAAAATCTAGATACACTTTAATGGATACAGAAGATACATTTTGTTTTTAATTTTGACTTGCCTTGTCTTAATTTACTTTAATTTACTAAGTTTTTAATATATAATTTTATCTCTAGCATCTTGCAAGTGACCAGCACAGACGTGTATCCAAGCTACATAAGAACCAACTCAGTAAAAACACACTGATGGAGCGATTCTTGCAGGATGTTCATCTCTACCATCCTCAAAACTACCATGATACTAGGTAAGAGTTGTAAATGCCTAACATTCTATATTCTGTCACATACGCTCTCTGCTATCTAAGTATGATAAGTGTGAAAATCAAGTCCATTGACAACAGGTTCTTTTTATAGAGCTAAAGTGGAAGTCCAGCCAATTGGTTTTGTTTGGCTAGAATGGGAAGGAGCCATGCTGCCCTAAAAAGGGACCCTGCGTGTTTAAAGGTTGACTTTTAATGCCAATCATTATAGTGAAAATAGTCATCCTTTCTGATAATTGGATGGTGTGCTGATGACATATACCGATTGTCATGATTAATGGTGCCATCAGGGCTGTGCCTATAATGAGGCAGCCTGAGGAGGTTGCCTCAGACGGCATTTCATTGAGTCACATGGGGGGGTGCCTGCCGCCCCCTTTCCGGTCAGAGCATCCCAGGTTGCTAAGAGCTCTTAGCAACCTAGGATGCCCTGGCAAACGTCCTGCCCAGCTTACTAATGTCACTGGTTGCCAGGAGCTGAGTGGGACGCTCTGGCTGGTGTCCCACCCATATGTGGCTTATGTATTCATCTGTTTGCACCTTTGGGTAGATTTCCCTACACTCCCTGTCGTATTGACCACAGTCCAAAAATGTCCACCCTCTCTAATACATTTCCCATTAACCCCCTTTGTGTAGTAGTTTTGAAGCTGAAAGTAAAATGTTTTAATTGTTCATAGATTAACAGGTTTTTCAGGAACTATTTTAAATAAAGACCTTGCTCTTTTATATAAGATGTTTATAATATGGCAGAAACAATGGCTCCCAACCCTCTATAGAAGAAAAAAAGTTGTGGCTATGTTTGCAAATTAACAAAATGATACAAAACAATAAAGTGACTTTTAAAAGTAGGTAGCTATGGTGCAGAAATGGATATCCAGGTCAAAAAAAAACACTGCACTCAAGCTCTTAAAAACCAAAACATTGATTTTTTATGTAATTCTGACAATTAGAACTCATATGAGTTTTGAATAGGGTTAAATAAATACAAAACAAAATGCAATAAAAGCAATGTTAGGTGACTTTATAAAGGGTACTTAGTTCATTATTCATAGCATAATGTAAACAAAGTATATACACAGAGAGATAAAAGTACAGTCATCTGAGTTAGTATAATAACTTTGTTATTATGTGGTTGATTGAAAAATTGGCCTTTGAACCAAAGTTTTATGTAAGCATACATTTGGCTCTGTTGTTTAGATAGGAAAGCATTCACTGTGGGAGATGGGAACATATAGGGGGTTATTCACAAAGCTGCCGAGGGCAGCTGCGTGAATAACCGACCCGAAGTGAAGTGAGCCGAACGCGAAGTGAAGTGAGCCGTACACCGACTGAAATCAGCCGTACATTGGCTAGCAGTTCGGGTCCACCGAACATGCTCAGCATGTTCGGCCAACCCGAAGTGCAGAAGGAGTTCGACTCAGCTAATCCAACATCTCTCTGCTGTTTGGCCTATTCTCATAGGGGCCAAACAGCAGTGAGTGAATAGCCGAATGCCGCCGAGAGGCATTCGGCTCGGCTATTCTGCTTGGTACCTCTGTAGTACCGCGCGGAATAGAAAAACTGTAAAAAAAAGTAGAAAACGATTGGGCGGAGCTAGCAGTGACAGCTTGCTCCGCACAACTGTTTTCTTTTGGCCGGGACCAGCTGTCATTACAAGCTGGTCAGCCGGGACCAGCTGTCATTACAAGCCGGCGGTGATATCAAAGCCAGCTCCCCTAAGCTCTTATCATAATGACAGATCACCTGGTAACCAGGGGACGCTGATCTGTCTCTGCATGCAAGTTTCCAGAACCCACCGTGAGATGACGGCTGGCTCCTTCCAGCTGTCAGTAGCAGGCTGTCGGGCGGCCAATGGCTTTCACCTCGGCTCAGTCGAGCCGAAGCATATGCCTTCACCTCGACTGAGCCACTCAGCCAACTTCGGGAGCTGTACGGGCTATAGTGAATATAGTGGTCCTGGGGCCGAAGCATCAGCCAAAGCTACGGCTAGATCCTTCGGCAGCTTCGTGAATAGACCCCATAAAAAAGCAGCAGTTTGTGGAGTGGAGGGAGGTTTAAGAGTAAAAGAGAAAAAAAAGAAGAAGAAAAAAAAAAAAGAGGTAGAGGCAAGGACACGATTAAAAAGTAGAGTGATGATGGGGTCTTGCAGAATTAGTAAAGTGATAAAGAATTACTTTGCTATGTGTCTCAAGGATGTTTTAATTACGTTTTTATATTTGATAAACTACTTGAATTCAGTAAATGCATTTTTAACTTATTATGGTTTAAATGACCTACGTGTATACTAACTTACTATAATCACTTGCACACTAACGTCAGTTAAATAGTAGAAGTGCCAATTAGATTCCATTGCTTTGCACAGAGCTGTCAATCCAACATATTTGCAACTAGTAGCTAGAGGTGTAGAGAAAAGGAAAGCACAGGAAAGACTTTACTTCCATGCTCATACTTCATGGGTAGGTGAAACAGAAGGTTACAGAGCTGCAAGCTCTAAATAGTGTCACCCTCTGTCTGTGTAGTTTGGCATGAATGTGTGAATTGCAAATGTGGCAGAACATAATTATAAATATTTGAATGGGCTTAAAAAAATCCACAAATATACTCTATGTCCCCTTTAATGGTCCCTCGAGTGTAACTTGGTGGAACTAAACAGATGGTCACCCTTACTTTCTGTCACCACTAAATAATCTGCAGCGATGGCATAATAATTAAATAAAAACTCCAGGTAAAAAATGTAATTAACCCATGCAGTGGGGATACCCCGCACTGCAAGGGTTAAGTGCTCATTTTTGTCTAGGTTGAAAAATAACAAGTAACAACAATAACAAAGCATAATACGTTTTCTCACCCGAGCCTCGAAGCCAAGCCAACTTGCTCTTAGACTGGTTCTTTCTGCCTTGCTCCCCCTCCGCTGCAGTGGTCTATGGTACCTGAGTGATCACGTTCCATAAACCCCACTACAAGAGTAAATAGCATATTACCCAGAGTGATTCTTTAACTGTTTCAGTAACTTGAGATCGGGATAACTTCAAAGCCCAACTGAACTCTTCAGTAACATGTTGTGACTAAATTCCAGGTGTAATAAAGCAGTAAGTGATCACAGTCAGACAGTGAAGCAGTGACGGCCAAAGCAAAATAGCCGTTGCCATACTGCAGGGAAGGACTGCTTTAATTACTTTACTTTATGTGAACGCAGCAGCCTCTTTGCAGTGGTCCGACATGCCCCCCTGTGTTATTAACCCTGTCCAGGTCTCTGTAGATTACAGAACACATTCCACCTATGTTATAGAAAACAGGAGGGGGTTGTTCTGTAGTCAACATCAGGAGCGGGCAGCTTAGGGTGATAACACTACTCCTCCACAGATACAGTACAGGGATAGTTTTACCCTAGGGCAGTACGTGCTTTAATGGCAGGATCACTAGTTGAAAAGAAGAAAAAATAAAAATAAAGCACATCTAAGAAATGGTAAGCTGCAATATATGTATTTTTTGCTCCTGGGTTTAGATACTCATTATTAAGCAACTTATTCACATTTAACTTTTTCAGACCAACATATGATGATATACCAGAAGTTAATGTGCTTACTTCCTCCCATGAAGAAAGAACATGTACTCTCTCACAGGAAACTCAGGCTGCTGTCTCCAGCTGTGGAAAAATAACTGACTGGGACAAGCACTGTGTCTCTGAATCATATAGATCAAGGATCAACTGCAAGGAAACAACATTCACGCAATCACGGAACACAAACCCTGAAGAGGCCCAGTGTTCCAAAACTGGGTATCACCAACAAAGCATTTTCAGCAGTCCTCTGACTACTTGCCAAAAAGCCTTATGTAAAACGGTAAACACCATACCTCAAACCTTTCACTATAGCACTTTACCTTTATATCCTACTAGCCAGATGACTGCAAATAACAGTTTTTTGGAAACTCAGCATTCTGTGCATTGTTCAGGGTCCAGTAATAACAGAGAGACAAATTATGGGAAATGCAAAAAGTGCCCAGGTACCGCTAAATTGAAAAACCCTACAAATGACTTGCAAAACAGGCAGTTCAATTTCCAAGGCAGCTACCATCATCTGACCTCAGGCACTTTGTTTAAGAATGAAAGGATTTTCAAATCTCAGGAAAACAAGGAATGCATTCTCAGGGATCATGAGCTATATGATGACTCAAACAAACTAAAAAATGATGGAAAATGTAAAGGATTTTCCCACTTCAAGAACAAAGGGCTATACTTGAGCAAAGATGATGGAAATTTAGTAGATGAGATCATTGAGGCAGTAATCAAAAAATACTGCCATGAATCTTCATCAGACAAGACAGCAGAAAAAGACGAAGAAAGTGTATTGTCCTTAAATGTTCCATCTATTACTGAAGGCTCTACTCTAAGTTTTGATTTGAATGCACCTACAGAGTTAAAAGAAGATCACTTGAAAATCACAATGACAAATTTAGACTTGCACAAACAGTCTGATGTAAACATAGATGAAGAGTACAACTCAAAACTTAAATGTATCCTACGTGAAAGCCCACCAAAAGAAATACAGGCTATAAAACATGAACATGAAGAGGACGTTCTTCCAGCTCTGCCTCATATCCCTCCATCATTTGTTGGTAAAACATGGTCCCAAGTAATGTATGAAGATGATTTAAAAATTGAAGCCTTGGTCAAAGAGTTTAGAAAGGGAAAGTTCCATTGCTACTTTGAAGATGACTGTTCAGTGAATGTGGGCTCTAAGAGAAAACATAATAGCAGACAAATAGAGAAAAAAGTTGAGGTAAAGACAGAGGACTTAGATGAGTCCCAAAAAATGAATTTGCTGCCATTATTTGAAGATTTTTGTGAAGACCAGTACCCTGATACAAATAGTATGAAATCAGAAAGACTTTTAAAATCTAAGCCTGCTAAGCCTTGCAAACGAGTATGGAGGCAAGCTTCAAGATGCCAAGTAGTAAAAGTCAGCCATGGTACTCAGACAAGTTTGGTTAACTATCCAGTGGTAAAAAAGAAAGTCCTGAAAAGTGAATCCCAAGGAGTTTTTGATTACCTGGAGGAGGAAAGGACTCCGGACATGAAAACTAGAATGTGTGCTTTAAAGCTTCCAGAATCATACAACAAAATTTTAACTCCGTTACAACCCAAGACAATGGTATATGTTCTTTCCCACCCAGATATAAAACCAAGTACTTGTAGGAGAAGTCGTAATCGGTGCTCCACCGATAGTAGGGACTCTGTATATTTTAAATATAAGCAGTCACCTCTGAAGTATTATGACCCTTTGACTAATCGTATCCTTAAAACCCCTCCCAGAAACTCAGTACGAGGAATGAGTAGCAAGGCGCTCTGTGTTCGAAAGTTGTTCAGAAGTCTTAGTAGTGAAGGAAATGTTGATAAAGTTAATCCAGAATCAAAGGAATCAAGCACCTCTAAGAAGTCTCTGAGCAGTTGTTCTGTTGCTTCTTTACACTTTGGATCTGTGAAGGGAAAAGATTTAAGCTCCAGCATAAAGGGAAGTGGATCTTCTGTGAACTCAGAATGCATTGGCAGTGGCTATGTTAAATCAGGGCACTCTGAAAAACCATATACGCACATTACCATTTCTCCATGCAAGGCAGCTAACACCAAGGCAAAGGAAGACACTCAAAACAGTATCCTGCTCTCAAAATCTAAAAGTAAACCAATAAAACAGCAGAAGTTGATCACAAGAGAGCATCATAACTCTTCAGCTAGGCATAGCAAGTCACGGATAGAATCCTTAGATGCTGCACGATCCAAACATAATCCTCAGAGAATGGTGAAAAATTTAGGAAAACAAACACAAGGAAAATCCAAATGTAGAAAACAGCCAAGAAAAAAATCTTCTTCAGTTCTTCCAAAATCAAACAAATCATTTGCTCGGGCTCGTCATCCAAATAAAGAGAAAGTGACAAACCAAAGGGATGCAATCACAGTTCAGGATCATAAGAAAAGACTGGTAAAGTCAGAATTTGTTTCACTCAATCCCAAAAAAAGAAAGCAAATGATGACAAAAAACAGCTTTCAAAATGCGTATCAAGACAAACATATTACTAGATCTCGGAGCAAAACCTCTGAGCTTATAGTACAGAACACGATGCATTATCTAAGAAGTAGACATGCAGTAGCAAATATAGCTTCTAATACTAGAACTTTTACTAACAAACTGACCAGAAGAAAAGTCAGGTGAACTAAAATGTCAATGCTTATGGACTAATAAGTCACTAAAACACTGTGTGCTGGAAAACGGGTATTAGAGGTACATTTTTGATACTTTTTTATAGCTCTTTAGAAAAATTTGCTGAGTTATTATTCAAAATATTTTACACTTTCATAATCTATTAATAATGTTTATTGTAAGATATATGTCTTTATATAAAGCTATGTAAAATGACCTGACCATTAGTATAGTTGTCTTTTTGTATACTAATGTATTAAGATCAAAACAGAGCTCCATATTCAACTTACTGATTTTTTATAAATGTTATTAAATGGGGTATATTAAAGCTTTATTTTAATTTCCAAAATTGACCTTCAATTATAATATTGAAATGTAGGCTCTAAGTTTATAAAGTAATTTAGAAAACAATATATAAGGATCAGAGTGTTGTATGGCAGCCTTGAAATGGTAAGGAAACTTTTCCACAAAGTTTCCTTAACCTGTTGCCCCCACCCTTCTAAGATCTACCATTACCTCAAGGGATAACTCTGAATTTCCCCTCACTTCTTTCTCAGTAACAACGGTCACCAGTACAAATATAGAGGTTAAATCTCCCCAGCAAGGATAGCAATACAAACTTGACAGAGGGTCTATCACTTCCCAACTCTATCCAACATTAAAAGAAGATTATGCCTAGAAATACATTTTAACAATTAGCCAACTTACACCTGTGATGAAATTGGAAAGTTCACTGAGTTCTTTGTAAACCACAACACGAATTAAGAAAAAACACCTCACAGGTTTTCTGTGAATGTACTTCCTGATGCCTGTGCTTTGTAACCTCCTCTCTCAGCTTCCTGTATCAACAATCTAATTCAAACTACTGTACATTATATGGGGAAACGTCTGTGGACTATCTACCTATATGCTAACATCCCTCCAGTTTTTTGAGTTCAGGTGTTTCCAGTAAAGTATACTGTTAGTGATACAGCTCACAAAGATATTTTAGACATTTGTGCACTTTCAATCTGGTGGCAACAGTTTGGGAAAGGCCTTTTTCTGTTCCAGCATGACTCTGTGCCAAAAAACAGGTCTATAAAGACTTGGTTTGATGAGTTTGATCTGACCTCAACCCCCTTTGAAGCCCATTCATACGAATACCTATTGGTATAAATAAGAACACTGATTCTAAACTAAGGTCTTCTTGTCCAACATCACTACCTGACCTGAAAACTTAGTTGAAACATGAATATACAGTGTATTTATTCATTGGCTTTTTATACTGTATCTCCTTGCAACTCTAACTCTAACCTACAGGAGTTTTGAGCCTTCTCTGTTGTAACCATTATAAAGACATTATAAAACAAAATATATAAGATGCCAGATCTTGATCAAATTCATATGTATCCCCCAAAAGCATTACTCTTTATGAGCTTAAACTTTAAATATATTGTTTTTTTTCCTGCCAGTCATTTTTTTTTTTTAAAGACATGGCTTTAGGTTGTTCCTTATAATTGTTTTCCTAATGCAGTTGAGTGAATGTCACTTTTCTTAATGCTTACAATATCTAAACTAAAATCAGCCACTTACACAGCTCCACCAGCTGCACTTGAAAATAGTTATTCCTTTCTTTATTTTGTGTATTTTTATCCCTCCAAAGTATTACACAGCTCTTTACTTTATGCATACAACCACAGACCCCAGTTCTTGACCCCAGAGGAATTTACAATTTAATAACCCTTCCTCAGTCATATAGACACAACTTTTTTTTTTAAGGTCCGCGATGCGTGCAACAAAGAAAACTTCACCCCTGTGAACAAAAAAACGAATTGTGAAATCACAACACACTAAATAAAGTACTAGGTAGGGGCTCTCCCAGATAGAGCCCAAGGTGGAGTGAGGTAGAGAAACCCATAGAGGCCACAGAACCTCCCCCTAAACATCAGATTGGGCCTTGAAGGTACCCACACCCTCCATCCTTCTGTGGGGTCAAAACGTGCAGTCGTGCATAAAAATAGTGCATAAATAAATAAAAAGTGCCAGTGCACAACCCTGATAGACCTTTCGGCCAAGATAAAAATAGCTCTGGTCTAACCAAAAGTCCTGCCAAAGAAGCATACTGCAGATAAAAGCTTTGAGTGCCATGACCTAGTGACGGTCAATCACAGTGGGGTCCCAAACCCATAATGATTTTCCAGCACCCCTGGGGTGCCATCCCCATGGAGCACAGCACCACAAGTCTCTGTGCGTCCACCCCTTCAGCCAGAGAAGAGCAGCCCCATTCCCACCAGAAGGAAGTCCCAGTCCCTGCCTACAACTGGTGACAAGCCTGGTGCTGCAGGCCAGAATCAACACAGGAAGAAAAGGAAACCCCTGGAGTACCCACCTATTACTCCAGAGAAAACTAAGCAGCCATCCTCACCGAATAGATGGTGCTGTTCTTCTCCGAAAGCTGATAAGAACATATACTACACTTGATCTTAGCCAAAAGGCCGATATAGATACAACTATTTGATCTATTGGCAGTTTGGTCAGAAGCCAATAAGCCTTTTGGATTGTGGGATGAAACTGGACCCCTCCGAAGTAAACCCAAGAAAAAACAGGGAGAATATGTACAGTTTATAAATATACTGTCCTTTGGAATGGGGGCTTTGCCGGCCCACCTTTGTGTTGCCACTCAAAGTTATATCTGTTTTTCAAAACAATTTAGCCAGTATGCCAAAGACATGTGCCCCTGGGAGGTGGAATGCTTTCATATTAGCCAATAATGATTTACATGTGGGGCTCACTATCATCACACCAATAAAAACATTAATTTCAGGTAATCATTTCATGGCCATACATCCACAGCTTCTTTGTAAATAAAGTGAAAATTTTTCTATACAAATAAGCTGGGGTTCTACTTCATTACATGATATTTACTATATATGTACCCACAGCGCATAATGAGGGACACAGGTATCCAACATACCTGAAAGTGTTGAATGCTAAAAAGTTTGATGTAGGCTGCAATGCTTGAATTGAGCAAAAGTAGAAGACACAGGCCACTTGAGAGGTGAGTATAATAACTCTTATATTGCAGGGAACATCGATCTAGATTTTTTTGGATGACTGACAGTGTTGCTTTAACTGGGGCCAATAAGCCAAGAAGACCTTATTATTGCATGCAGAAATTTTGAGACGTGCTGGAAAATGTTCTCTATGACCAATCATACTGAAAACAAAATGAACATACTTCCATGTGTGTCATCATCTATGTCTTATGTATTCCAGGATCCTGTTGCACTCCTTACCGGTATCCCTGTCAGTGTGGGTGCTCGAAGTGACCGCAGATGGTGCCGCCAATACTGACACTTGTTAAAGATGTCACCAGCACATCATACTGAAGTGAAGAACATGTCTGTTTATTGACGCTTCATGTCAAAACAAAAAAGCAACGTTTCGGTGCAACACAAGGTCCCCTTCATCAGGCTTGAAATGACTGTGTTGGTGCTGGTGACATCATGAACAAATCATCTGTGTCTTGGCGCAGATTGTGATGGGACAGGGAAGTACTTTGATTCACACCAAGACAGGCATATTTCATAATATTACTTAGACCAGCCTTATAATTGTAGAATTATTGTGAAAGGGTAGAAATAAGACAGAAGCCACTATTGCATGATTCTGATGGCACTGTCTACAGGAGTGTCATATCCCAGCGTTCTCAACCTTTTTTCAGTCAAGGCACCCTTTAAAGTATGGAGAATCTCAAGGCACCTCAGTCTAAAATTTAAAAACCGTAAGTGTCAAAATAATATGTGGTCTCTGCAGAATCCATACCAGAGCCGTATCCAGAATAATGGATAGGATGTATGGATTTTAAGGGGGAACCCCATGCAAAAGCACAGGAAAAAAGGTGGTGTTTACCCCATATTAGAGTGCCCCTTCATATTAGGAGCCCCCTTTCACATCAGAATCCTCACTTTACATCAGGCGTCCCACTCTCATACTAGGAGCCCCTCTTCACATCAAAAGCCCCCTCTTTCACATCAAAGTCCCCCTTTTTTACACCAGGAGCCCTCTGCAAATTAGAGGCATGACATTGTGTGAAAAGTTCGAGGCACCCTGAGGAAGTCAGAAGGCACCACAGCGTGCCACGGCACCCTGGTTGAGAAAGGCTGTCTTATCTTTTCTTCTCAGAAAATGTATCTCTCCTGGGCGGCCGTGAGCCGCTATCTAATAGCGGGAGACTCCCGGAACGTCCGGGAGAGTTGGGATGTCTGTGGTAGCATCAATTAATACTGGTGCATGGACTGTGTGTTATGGAATATAATCTCACTGGTTACCTGGAAACTGGAGAGAGAGCTGTATGTGCCAGAATTCAGATCTCACTGGTGCAACAGATCTGGAGATTTAGACTGCACTGAACACATGGGGGTCAATTTATAAACCCTGCCCTGCGGATATCTCTGAACATTCGTTTTGGGCAAATAATGTTCCTCAGCAGACTAGATAGAGCTAAGGAGCAAAGGAAATAAATATTAAACTGCATCTAGTGGCCATGATGTACTATTACTAGATTTAAACTGGGGAACAAGAAAAAATATTTGTTTTCATCATTATTCGCCTAAAATTAATGATTACAGATACAGTAAACTGCCCATTATCCAGCATTTCAGCAACCAGAACTCTCAAGCAACCAGAAAAAAATTATCGAGGACTTAATATGTCCTAAAAAATTTTTAGCCAGTTGTTAGAAAGGCATGGGCACACTAAAAATGTTTGTTAGCAACTAAATTTACTTGGTTGCTATCAAAATTCTCTGTTTACATATTGCTGCGTCCGAAGACTAGATTCCTCAGCTATCCGGTGAATGTAAACAACAAGCAGTAGGCATGTGCAATAGCCTGCCTGCTATTGGCTACGGCAATTTGAAATAGCCAATAGCACAATCTAGCAAGCAGATAAATGGGGGGCGGGGGGGTATTGTTGTTTGGGAGTTAGTAGTCATTTCCTTCACACACAGGCGAACTACAACCCCCATCTCCAGCACATACATGCACTGAGCACCTCATACATCTTTGTTACTTGTCCTGTCTCATACTTCTCTGTTACATATAGTTATACTGCTGTTATGGTGTACTGCCTTGTTGCTTCTCTTCAAGAAG